CCGTCAAACTGAAGTCATTATACAGAGCAAGTACAAGAAGAAGATACTATCAATGTGAGACATCTGGGGAAAATCAACATCCCTCGGCTTTCTCTCTTTCAAAATCATCAGTGCTGCCGAGACACTTGACATTTCAAAACGCTGTGACAGGCTCTATTCAGGATCAAATCTCATTTAAAAATTCTGGGCCACATCCACACGCCGTGAGTCCATGAGAGAAATCTCAGACATTGTAACTAGCAGTGAATGAGTCACCAGTTGAGATGTTGTGGTGTGTGAACGATGTGTGTGTGTGGTATAGAATACCACATCATTCCTCCGCACCTGAACGTAGGGCGCAGATCAAAGATTTGAGGTCCGAAGGTCATACAGTTCACCCTCCAATTACCTTCTGCTCCCATCAGTGTGCTCAGATGAGAAATCAGTCCAGTCCTGAATGCTCAATCACAAAAGTTTACGGAGGAGAAAAAAGGAGAGAGATGAGACGAGAACCAACGATATGACTCTTGCGTGGTCTTGAGTGTTGAAGCAGGGTCAAAATGAGAGGGAGGGTATAAGAGCAGGGAGAAATAAAGAAACCATAGATGATAGACATAATTAATACACATACCTCGGTATCTCAGAGCTTCTGACCTTCATTGTATTTGACAGAAAGAGATGCATAAAAATGTACAGTAAGGGTTGGAAAGCTGTAAAAAGGAAATTATGTCAAATGCTTTACAGATATTTTTAAGTATGAATATTATATATATAATATATATATCAACACAATTCCTTCAGTGTGATGTTTGATTGAGTATTGTCGTAAACTATAGTTAAAGGTGAAGAATGCAGTTTCTGCACTTCTCATGTCACCTAGTGTAATTACAAAAATAAAGTAAGGATTATTCTTATGCTTACAATATTATTTCATCTGGGATTGATAGTAAACAGCTAACATGTGCCAAATCTTAAATTTAGTTTACCTGTCAAGAAGAAGCTTCATCTTGATTGAAACCCAAACATTCCATTTAATTCATACATCTTTAAAAGCACCGCCAAATGTTTATGAGTCGTTTATTAGTGAAGGGGTCTTCAAAAGGGGGTCCATGAGCCCTAGGATGTACTTGGCGGTACCACAGGTGGTCTGCCAATTATTGTTTAATCTCAAACTATTTTGAGTGAAATTGTGTGAAAGTCTATTTAAAAAAATGTTAACAAAAATACAGTTTTAAGTTAACTAAGCAATTCTATATAGTTAAGAGACAAAAATGCAGGTCAATATATCAATGTCTTTGCTATATAGGTGTCATAACAAAATATGTTAATACATAAAAGTATGAAAATATGCATGTTTTTGCAGGACAGGCTTAAAATGCAAACACGAAATTCAATTCCCCCTGAAATTAGTTGCAGTTTTATTTATCCGTTTTCTGGGGGCTCGCTTGTAGGTGTAGAGTTGTTATTAGCAAGATAAATATGTAAAGTTGGATATTCCTTTTCAAATCAGTTTTTATTGTTTTATAATACTGTAGCTGGTTAAATGCAGACTGATTCCATTGAGCTTTGTAGCACTAATCTAAATCTGCACAGCCTTTGATACAGCTCTTGACCAGCATTTAGCATCAGGTTAATGTCTGTTTTAAAACATCTCCTGCAGTGAAGAGAGCAAAGAAACAGTGCAAGCAGCAGCTTAATCTAACAACATTTTAAATCCGCTGAACAATGGCTGAAGTTGCATATTTTTTATGAACAGTATTTTAATAATTCATGGCTTTATCTCCTGAGCACAGTATAATAAAGCTTTTGAGGCATGGCATATGGTGTGGATTCTATGTAGTTAATACTCTTAAAATGAAATGTTGTCATCATTTACTAGGGATGGGCGATATCTTATCGTTTGCGATATACCAGTAAAAATTCTCCACACGATAAGAATTCGTCTTCCCGCGATAATAACGATAAAGTCTAGTTGTTGACATATTTCATATAAAATATTAAAGATATTTTAATTTATTGACATGCTTTTTCTCCATATTAACTTCATAACATAGTCGAATGTTTGAAATAACTTATTTTTGTGATCAGACGTGGTTTCGTATCACAGAATAAGGCAGAAATCATACTATTTTATAGCATTATATACAGTGATAAAGGCTATATCGATTAGCATTGCATTATAAATATACTTTAT